CGCCCGCACCAGCCCTCCGGGTATCCACTGGGCACAGCGCACGTCCCCCCTGCCTTCAGCAGCAACTGTGCTTACATCTTCTCTGCCCTGCCGGTGACGCTCCGACCGAATTTACCTCGGAGACCTGCACTGCAACTCCACAATGCGGAGAAACAAAAAAATAAATTAGGGGGGAAAAAAACCCAAATCCAAACAACCAGGAAGGAAGAGTAGCAAGACATGCTGCCCAGAAGGCCTGCGTTGTCTCCTTCCATGGAGATACTCACACTGGGAGCAACCTGCTGTGGGTGACCTGCTTCAGCTGAGGTGGATGAGACACACTGCAGCGGTCCCCTCCCGCCCCACGTTCTGTGACTCTTATGTGGTTCTATACGGTGAATGAACCAACAGACAGCTAAACACAATATAAGGGTGGAGAAACAACTGAAAAAGAAACAATCCCTCTTTAAACCTTTGGGGTGGTGTTTTGTTTGTTTGTTGTTTTGGTGGTTTTTTTTTTGCTCCCCCAAAAGGGCAGTTTTATACTTACCAAAATGTCTTGTCTAAACCACTGTTTCTCAGATTCTTAGAGGTGTTACCAGATCTCTGTAATGTATAGCATTCATGTGTAAGCAGTACTGGTCATTGATTCTGGATAAAATTTAATTGCAAGTCCTATAACATTACAGGTCAGCAGGTCCAGTGCTGGTACTGACCACATCTTTAGAAACACAGACAAATCCAGCCAGGTCAGAGCCTCTCCCCAGCCATGGCTGCTAAATGACAACACCCTCTGAACGTTTCAGTTCCCTGAAAAGAATTACTTGGAAGAGCCAACACCCTCTGTGGGTCCTCAAGCCCCTCTGAAGTTCTGTTGAGAAGTATTATTTGCTTTCCATCCTTTAACCAGCCTTAATCTTGTTACTTTCCTCTCAGCTTTCTTTTGTCCCGAATTTCCAGAGTAAGAATGATAAACGTTGGTATCAAATTAACATAAGGCTCTTTCCTATTAGATTGCCTATTATAACCTACCTATTAGGTTCGGGTAGTAACAGTTGCTTAAATTCTCTATTACACTGATGTTATGACTTGCCCACCATTACCTACACTTTTCCCCTCCCCCCCAAAGGTGCTACCTCAAAAAATACAGATTTCCACCCAGTAAACAGGAACTACATGTTTAACTAGAGATGCAGGACAGGCAGATTATATGATGCCACCTTTCAGTACACTGTCACACTTTCCTGCCTCAACTAAAGATCTGATCAGGGACGATGTGGGGTTTTTTCCTTCAAACCAAACTTCTAAAATAAACAGATGGATAATTGTGTGCATATATACAAAAGCAGCAGAGGGGAAAATCAAATCAGTGCACTTCCATACCCCTAGATGAGCTTTACGGTGAGAACAAACAAAAAAGCCTCACTCATCTATTAACTAATACCTGCCCAGTTTCCTCATTCTGTCACAATTCATGTGAGACTGAACACGTAAGAGCTCGTACTCAGTAAAGATACTACAATGCACGAGAACACCCAGAGATCGAGCTTCTGCAGCTCCACCATTCTGTACAGCACCTAACACCACAAAATAAATTTAGTGACTTCTAGCTGAGGCCTCACCATTCCATAGTATGAAGGTACCTTATAAAAAAGTTGACAAAGATAACAAACCCTGTTTGGTCTTCCCATATACATGCATAGAAACTAAAACCATGTTGATTACTGGTAATTACTCTCTAATTCAAGTGCACATTAGCCATTCCATTAATCTCATCACTGACTGGAAAAAATTAAGTCAAACACTTGATGTCCGGAAGATCTGGAGAAGCTGATCATCTTTTAGTTCCATTTCAGATAAAATGGCCAATTATTATCTTTGGGACAAACTGAAGAGGAACTAACAATGCTAATGAGAACCAGTATGTATAAAAAAAATTACTTAATGGAAACAGGAAGCCAGAAACAAGCTTCAACACCAAGTAGCCTGAGAGCAGTAAAAATTCATTGTTCGAGTTTCCCTGTGACCTGGCTTTTAGTTTGTTCACGCTACCTTGCAAAGTGACATTACAGAGATCTACAGATGCTCCAACTGGTGATACAGTGAGACACAGGTACGTGTGACAAGCCCATCTGTAGAGCAGTTACTGCTAGAACCAGAATGCCAAAGCATATTAATGAACATCTGTCAGGTCACTGACCTCTTACCAAATGAACCAAGCCCAAAGTCCCCCCACCCCCAACTATTTTGGGCTGTTAATGTATACCTCTGTACAAAAATAATTAATTTATTTCACTAAGAGGAAAATACAGTACACTTAGGATAAAGATTTAATCTTACTTCTTCAGAAGTCTGTCTTTAAGGTGAATTCAGAAGTCTACAAGACAGCTAAAAACACCGACCGCGGCCCTTCAGAAAGATGGGGAAAAAGCAAGCACTCTCATTAACTAAGCATTGCCTCGGTTGTACAACGCACGCTACAGAAGATGGTGTGGGGTTTTTCTCCCTAGAAGCCAGTATATGTTTAACACTTCGGGCCAGAAAGAAGCACGGTTCAAAGTTCAACTCTGAAACAATGACAGCAGTTCAAGCTGTCACTGTGGTATCAGTCCTTTTCCTCCCACTGCAACAGTCTCTAGTCCCAGCACGTCATGACTTTTGTTTACTAGCTCCTTCTCGTGCTAGTCTATCAGCTTCTTCATTTCCTTGGAAGCCAGCGTGACCAGGAATATGCATCTGTTAGGACAAAAGTACAGGAGCATTAGATATGCAAGGAATCAGGAAAAAAGTACATACATGAAATCTGATCACGCAACACCCTTTCATTCACAGTACAGTAGCCCCTCCTCAGAGGGTCTCTCCTCACATTTAGTCCTTATGTGTTCTTCCCAGGAATGTTCCTCTGGAAAAGTCTTGCCAAATGGTGCAAATCACCTTTATGGGAAGTAGTGAACTGGATAAAGGACCACCTAACCTAGCCCTTAAGAAATGCAGAAGACAGCTCCAACTTCAAATTCCCACTTTCAGAGAAGAGAAAAAAACCTATCTGCATTCCGTGCTTAAACCAAGTTCACCTTTTCCCAGAAAGCCACAGACCTCTGTGCCCCTAACAGCATCGATGGTTACAGCACTCACTTTGTATACAGAAACAGAGTATGAAAAGAATCTCTCAGTTTTCACATGTCTTAACCATCCATCCTTCAATTAGGGACAGAAAACACTTTCAACCCATCTTTAAGCCCACCCTTGTCGGAAGTAAGGATGGAGGAAGGAGAAGAAAATGAAGCTTGCATTTGACAAGATCTGAGAGGGGACAAGCACAAAGTGTGTGCGAGATGGCACTGGGTTCACATGGCAAGGTTTTGGTACAGGGTGGGGGACTTCAGGGTTGACCTCTATGAGAAGACACCAGGGGCTGCCCCTGCATCAGAGAGAAATGGTTCCAGCCGGCTCCAAAAGGGATGCACGGTAGGACACAATTAGCCCATCAGCAAAGCTGGTGGCTCCTCTGTGGTAGGATACTTAAGAGAGGGTAAAAACGCTGCACAGCAGCCAGAGAGGAGTGAGAATATGCGAGAGGAACATTTCTGCAGACACCAAGGTCGGTGAAGGAGGGGGGGAGGAGGTGCTCCAGGCACCAGAGCAGCGATTCCCCTGTGGCCTGTGATGAAGACCATGGTGAGGCAGGCTGCCCCCCTGCAGCCCATGGAGGTTAATGGTGGAGCAGATACCCACCTGCAGCCCCTGGAGGACCCCACACCTCAGCAGGCAGATTACTGTAATAAAATGTATGCATACGTTGCTCCTCCTGAAATAAAAATCTTCCCAAATGTAAGAGATTCAGGTGCAAGAAGTATGCATAAAGCACACTTCTTTCTATTTTATTATGTAAAATACGCTAAGGATAGCTTGGGTCTTAGTTTTAAATTTTCACACTTTCTTCTCCTCAATAGACAGTAAGAGTAGTTACATCGTCAGCCTTTAAATTGGAGTTGCCAACTCTGGAACACAGAACGACATGAACGAAAGAGTACCTGCGACAGACTGCCCATAGAAAAAGGGCACATTAAAGATCTACATCATCCTGTTTTCTACAGAGTAAAGACAGAAGCCCAATAAATATGCCATTAGCAGCCGTGAAGTCAAAGGTGCAGAGATTTATTTCTAGAATCAGTAGTCTTACACAACAATTAAGAGTAAAATTTAGAAGGAGGGGAGGGAAGATAGCCCTTACAATGTTTAACACTGTCGTCATAGGTTACAGAGAACTACATTTTACCAGGAACACCTGTATAGAAGTTGGTTTACTTCTTTATTGGAGAAGGAAAGAATTTAAAACTTAAAAGTGGGTACTTTAAAACCTTTCTGTGCCCCACTTCCTTGGGAAAAACACAGTTAAGGTACAGAAAACTACAGTTAGTTTATTTGGGGTTATACTCTCAGTTTTCCCATTTTAAACACATTCATGTGACTGAGTTACCCCAACAAACTAGCATCTTAAAAGAGTTCTGAAAAACAAATCCAGAAATTCAGCTACGACTTAGAAAGGCACAGCTATGTTTTAAGCTTAGATTTCCAGGAACAGAACTTTCATCTGCTATCAGTACTAACCAAATAAAAATAATTATTGCAGGCATTTTCTAAGTAGTAACGACAGACAGAAAACAAATATAAACATGCATTTTCATAAATGAAGTACTGGTTTCAAGAGCCTAGGACATGCTGCTTATTTGCTTTAAATAAAACAAGCAGCTTCCCTGTGTTTATGGTTTTACTTATGGATGTACAATATTATGGTCTATAAAACTCTTAGTTATGGTCATACTTTTAAGTTTTTAGAAGCAGCGTGTTTCAGATACCATTAACCGTAAGAAGCGAGGTGCTTACCCACTGAATTTCTATGTCTTTTGATAGATTATCAAGTCTTTCAAAATCTTCTTTATTTATTACACTTCCTCCTGAACTTGTTCTCCAGCCATTTGTTTTCCAGTTGTCAACCCAACTCGTAATACCTACGCAAAGGGAGCATCACCATAAAAACGCTATTAAAGAAGCCAGCAAGGATCAAGATGGAGCAAACTGCCTTTTAACAAGACATGAACTCCATACAAAGTCTCAAGCAAAGACACCAGAGACAGAAGATATTCTTGTTTGCTTATTTACTGCTGTCTTTCAGGACTGTATTTTTCCATTATTACTTGAATTACCCAACCATATTTTCCCAAACAGATAATTTAAAGACTATAATCTTACATACGCATTACACACAAAATTATGACATGAACCTCAATAAACTGAAGCCAATGATTTGCTTGATGGTACAGTAAGCTAGAGCAAATCTATGGCTTTATTTGTTTTGAGAAACCGAGGAGACCCACGTGCATAGAGGAAAAACCAATGGCCACCTGCCTTACAGCTTCTGCACACTAAACAGAATCCTTCAGAGAAGGACCACGTAAGCAGATTTCTTACAGAACAAGATTTAACATTCTGGCCCTTCCTTGCTGGCCAGAAAATTTACTATATTGCTTCTTAAATAAAGACTATTTTTTTAAAAAAAAAAAAAACCAACAATTTTTGCTGCTCTTGACAACATTAAGACATTCTTACTGCTTTCATGACAAACAGACCTGAACCAAATAGAGAATCACCAATCTTGTACACAAAACCTCCTAAAACCCAAACCAAACCACACCCATTTGTACTTAAGTGCAAGCCTTCTCCGGTAATTTAAAAAAATAACTCCTAGACATATTTACAAAATAACTTTGATTAAACAGGTGTGGAACCTGCACCTCACTGAAACAAAATGCAAGAACAAACTGCAAACACAACCGAAGAGACCAAGACATCACACCTAAAGATTCTTTTCCTCCCTCATACTTACGTCTCACACCTAAGTTTAACAGCAATTTTAGCAACACAACTTTGCTTCCTTCATAACAGCAGTTTCACAGACAAGATGCTATAGGCTTTTCTCCCACAAAGCAAAGATGTTTCTTTGCTCCTTAATGCTTCAAACAACTTGCTTGTTGCAACAAATTATGCACTTAGATTCTATTTATCAACATGCAACACCCAGCCCTGAAGGGCAGACTCTCCCTTTTACTCTTCCCTTTTTCAAAATACTTCTAGCAGAGACTAAAAAAACCCAACACTAACTAGAAACAACAACACAAAAAACCACCCCTCACACACATTCTGCTTCTACGGGAAATGCTACACCTAAATCTTCCGGGGAAAATAAGCTACACGAATGAGAACTTTATGAGATGATCCTTAGGGAGAAGCAATGGAAAATTCTTTTAAGTTGTTTCTTAACATTTACTGTCCCTTCCTCAACTTACAAACTAGAATCAGCAGGACAGAGCACAAGTCCTTGACACTTTCCACTTCTGGGCAGAACCTCTTTCATGCACATGCAAGCTAATGGAATTTGAAACAAGCAGCAAGTGACAGCTCCAGCAACAACTTCCATGACTACCAGTCACTTGTTCCTACTCAGTAGCTTTCCGTCCTTTCCAGGGTGTTCCTACTCAAGGTGACAGAGTTTTTCAAGGTAAATTTTGCTTTACTTCTAAAAATGAGCTGCCTGAAAAAGGAAAAAAAATTATGCTGCTCTTTCATACACCTCCACCTTCAGAAATCATGGGGGCCTTCTGGAAAGCAGAGTAACTTATTTGGAGGAAAAGATATACAGATTTCTTTTGCTTTACTAATAACAAGCAATAGAACAGATAATTACTTTCAGTATTAGCACTCAAGTATAGGAAGTTACACCAAGAACAAGATATTCATTTTCCCCTCTCCCCTCCTCCCCACAAAAACCCCTGTGTGAAAGCACAGCATTTAATTCTTGATCAAAAGGTGCAATAAGTTTTTGTTTAATGTTATTCAAAAAAAAAAAACCCAACTCCAAAGTGATCCGAGGACAGCAAATGCATGCACTCCCTTTGTAAAAATGCAAAATACAAAGAAAAAAATAATTTGGAACTGCATAAGTATCATGGGAGTAAAATCCAAAGAACTCGCGGAAAGAGGAAGAAGTTTTATTCAAAGATTAAGTCGTACGGGTTGCGTCATACGGTATTTATCGGGATTAAAACTAAATTTTCCAAATCTTTGGATGAAGGTGAAACTTTAAATATATTCTGAACAGGAATCATGTCTGGCTAGTCTTCTAAAGTAGCATGAACGCTTGGGAAGTGTCGTCTACATGTAAAAAGCAAGGAAACTTGAACGTACCTCACACGATAAGACAGCCTCCCCAGTCCAAGCGAAACAAAACAAAAAACCTACAGGGTTACCACACCAACTTCCAAGTACTTTCCTGAGTACATCCTTAACAGAGTATACGAGAACAACTTATTTTCTTGACTTTGTCTAGAATGAATACCTTAAGACAAAAATCCTGTAGTTACATTAAAGGCTGACAGAAGTAACAGGCATTTTGTCTCTACTTGTATTTCACGCAGTTAGCAGCTGATCCCTGTAATACTCTGAAGCTTTTCCCCAAGTAGTCGTGAGTACTGGAATAAGTTACACCTTCCCTTCCTTATATTCCTCTCCCCAGGACTCAGTATGTTCTGTGGGCCTTATGAAATAGCGTGCAGTGTGTCTTTAAGAATCAGGAAAACCAAAGTCATTAACTTACCATTAATAGTGAACTTGCTATCAGTGTAGATAATGAGTTTCTTGATGTTTTGACTCTTTGCTTGCTCTATTGCTTTGCAGGCTGCCTTCAGAACATTTCAACAGAATCACAGTTCAGAATAGGATTTTGAACACACGCACAGTACCTGATGCTAACACAGAACTACAAAGAATATTACTGTAATCTCTCCATCAACGACTATCAACACGCTTTAGAGCAAAGGTTCCCAAAATTATGCATGCAGACAACTACTTAACGAATCAAACAGGGAGCCACTTAAGTTTCACTGGCAAAAAAATCCAAAACATTCTGATGTTCAACTCTGTATTGAAGGAGTAGCTCTGTGCACAATTTTCTATCAAAGCCTCTATCAACTGCACACCAAGTTTTAGGCATTTTCTCCGTAACTTTGAGGGGAGATTCATACAGTTCCAACAGTCTGGAACCCCTAAAAGGTTGGGGTGGGGGTTTTTTTGGGGGGTGGTGGTGGGGTGGTGTTTGTTACAGGGTTTTTTTGTTTGTTTGTATTTTTTTCATGCTATGAAATATAATAAATGAGAGAGAAGTGGCTGGGTCTGAATGTAGAGCTGAAAAGCCCTTTAGCAACAAGTTTGACCCCTGCCACACCACCACCACCTCTGCTTGTCCCTCACCAAAATGAGCTTCCTGTAGCTTTTAACAAGACCAATTCCTCATCTCCAAACATACAGCACAGCAGCAGTACCAGAATAGAACTAAGGTGTGGTGAGAAGGGAAGACTAAATCTGCTGTTGCCAGCCAAAGTTTATTTCTGAAGTAACAGAAGTTACTCCTGAGAGCCTAGAATTGTTTGTTACATTTATCTAAGAAATACGATACTCTGATCTGATGACAGTAAGAAGCTGATTCTCTTCTTAACCACTACTCGGCAGCCCTCGCCCCAAGGTCTGAGATACACACATTAAAAATGCAAAGGATACCATACAGATTTGAGAACCAGGCTTTCCTGAAGCAAGGCTGTTTTAAATAGCTGTGCTTAGCCTGATGATATTTGGGAATTCTCAAGGTGAATTAACCTCGTTCAAAACCAATAAAGATCAATAAAATTCGAAGAAAGAGATTTGTTTCGAGTCATAACTCCTGATATTTTGTGTACTCCCATCACAGCTCCATAACTGGTTACTGAAGGCCAGAGTGTGGTCTAACATGCAGAAGCATTTTAGGACATTTACTACTTACATGTATTTCTGCTCTTTGATTAGTCTGCCGTCCAGGAAGTCTTTCACTGGTATTTCTGTGTCCAAGGAATGAATAGCAGATTAGTTACCCCAAATATGCAGAAGAGTGTATAATGACTACATACAGAAAAACAAATACCACAGAGCTAATTTTCTTTTTACAAAGAAGGACAAAGAGACATTCTAGTTCTAACTTCCACCTGCATAGTGCAACCTGCATATTTGGACCTGCCATTAATATGCAATTACATTTGTTGTCTTCTGTGCAGGCCTACACCTACTTTAAAAACTTTCTGCATCACTTGAATCATAGCTTCAGCCCCCCAAAATATTTTTTTCCCCACATTCTTACCTCCCAGAGCAGCTTTCTCTTTTCCCCTCAGTAACCCACTTGTCTCATAGCACTGCCATTTTAAGTCTCAACAGTAGGATTTCATATTCAAAAAGAGGCTGGTATAGTAAATCGCACACAAAATAAATGGTAATATATATTAAAAAAAAATAAAATCTATCCAGCTACTTACAAAGGGTGGCCTGGTCCCCAGTAGACACCTATTCCAGCACGTGCCCTATTACGTCCATTACCTGAGCAACAACCATCTGTATAAACAACCGCAAAGTCACCTACAAAAGAGTTACCAAAAACAGAAGTTCAAGCACTCCTTCAAGGACACTGACTCTTTAAGCAAAGAGAAACGTCTGCCAGCAGATTAATCCCCAAAACTTCCCTCCCCAGAGAGCCCTTCAAAAAGTCAACCTCAGAACCACATAAATTAGTAATGCAGGACACCCGAAGTCCCACTGCCACTTCACACCCTCACTGGTGTCAAGCTGGTCAGCCTCAAGAAGCACCTCTGCCCTAAGTTCCATATTCTCACTACAGTTCCTGCCTTCTTCACTCAACTTTAAAACTTCCCAGCTACACCTGTATATTTAAATATAGACTGTAATCCAGACACATGTATAATTACATCTATGATGATCAGATTGAGCTGTATGTTGATACCAGTTAACACCAATTAAAATTACACTGAAAGCCAACGTGAACAAATATATTACGGCTCAGATTTCCGTTTTTTAAAGAAAAAAATGCTTCGCTAGGCCTGATGCTGCCATACAGTAACCTCCCTCAAAGCTTCCTAATCATTACACTTGTTACTTATGAAAGACTGCAAAGAACTGGAAAGAATTACAGGAATGATGAAAGACCTCACCCATATATGAAAATTTATCTTCACTAACTGTTGGCGCTGAGTATACTTCATCATGCTTTACACGCTTTGCAATGCGTTCTTCATTTGCAGACTGTTCATATGGCCTTTTGCATGTATTGCAACACAAGACACTTATTTCTGGTTCCTCTCTCTGGCTACCATTTTCCTGCGTTACAGCCGGAGGACCATGTGCCCCTTCCAAAAAAAAAAAAAGTTTCAAATTTAATTTGAAACGACTGCTTCTAAAGACAACAGTTATCATCACCTATTAGCAATGCTAGTCTGTTAAATGTCACTATCCCAAACTAATATAGGAAACTATTACAGTATATACGAGGCATTCTTGGTCCTAGATCAAGCCGAACAGGAGACACACACGTAACGGCTCTCAAACCGGGCACGGTGCAAGCAACGCTCTCCAAGCACCGACAGAAATACTTCCACGGCACTGACAGCCCCCAGCGCTGTGTCCGGAGGGCAAGGCCACCGCTGCGCTCCCCACCACGCCGTGCCGCCTGCTACGCGACGCCCACCAGAAGATAAACGGAGGCTGCTGCCCACGTCCACCAGCAGC